GCCCTACGGCCACGCCCCCGCTGCTCCCGCTCCGGGCCCGGGGCTCTGCCCCTGCCCCGCAACCGCCGTCACGGGAGGGGACGAGGGAGGATTCGCCCCCTCAGCCCAGGCTGCCTGGCACAGAATCACCGCGGTTGGAAAAGCCCCTGAAGCTCCTCCAGCCCAACCATGACCCTCCCTCTGACCGTTCCCAACTCCCCCAGATCCCTCAGCGCTGGCTCAGCCCGACTCTTCAACCCCTCCAGGGATGGGGACTCCCCCCTGCCCTGGGCAGCCCATCCCAACGCCCAACAACCCCTTCTGCAAAGAAATCCTTCCTCAGAGCCAGCCTGACCCTGCCCTGGGCAGCTTGAGGCCATTCCCTCTGGGCCTGGCACTGGGTCCTTGGCTCCAGAGACTCATCCCCCCTCTCTGCCCCCTCCTGTCAGGGAGTTGCAGAGGGCCAGGAGGTCTCCCCTCAGCCTCTCTTCTCCAGACTAAACCCCCCCATTTCTTTCAGCCGCTCCCCAGCAGACCTGTGCTCCAGACCCTGCCCCAGCTCCGTTGCCCTTCTCTGGCCACGCTCAAGTCATTCAATGGCCTTTTTGGGGTGAGGGGCCCAAAACGGAACTCACTCATCAAGGGGCAGCTTCACCAGTGCCGAGCACAGGGCTCAGATCCCTTCCCTGTCCCTGCTGGCCATGCTATTGCTGATACAAGCCAGGACGCCACTGGCCTTGAACACCATCACCTCCTACTTCTGCCCCTGCTTGGGAACATCGCCCACAGTCCTGCATGTGGCCTTGCAAGGACATCAGCCAACAACCTCAGACACAGCCTCTCTGGGCTCACAGATTGTTGTGGGCCCAGCTCTCCTGGTAATAACCACCCAGACCCTCATCGACAGCCAGTTGCTCTCTTTGAACCCTGCCTCCAAGTACGTGGCCTGGGGGACCTTGTTGGTGAAGACTGAGGCAAAGGCATTGGAGTCCCTCAGCTTTGTGTCAACTATCATTTGCAGCAGTGCCTTTGTGAACACTTCTTCATCCTTCTACAACTAGAGGAGTTTGTTGAGATGTGCAAGGAACATCAGATCTTCCGTATCTAAAGTAGTACTTGTATAACTATAGTTACAGAAGATCTGATATTCCTTGCACATCTCAACAAACTGAGATTTGGCTTTCCTAGTGTTGTTCCTACAAACCCAGATAACATTTCCAAATTTCTCCTTCATGGCCTGTCCATGCTTCCACCTCTTTCATACCACCCTTTTGCACTGGAGCAAGTCATGAGTTTCATTCCCAGTTCAGCCAAACCCATCTCCCAGTACCTCCTCTTGTGTACCTGATTATTGAGATGGACTCAGAAGATCCTGTCCTTACAGACCTGCCAGCTCTGCTGAGCTCTTTTACTCTTCAGAGTGCCCTCCCACAGGATCCCTGAAAGATTACTAGCTCCCTGTAGAGGGTAAAGACCAGCATCTGTGAATCACTACTCACTTTTTCGACTCTTCAGGATCTTGCAGACCATTTCCTCATCACTACACCCAAACCTGTCACCAATTATCACATTCCCCATCAGTTCTTCCTTTTTCATTAATCGATGGAGCTATGTCCAGCCATGCCAGCGACAGAGATAGTGGGGGCAGGGGGTACAGACTGTTTATGCCCAGGGTTCAAGTGAAGTGCATGTAAAAAAAAGAAGCATTTGATCAGAGTGCCCCAAGACACAGGTTGTCCTCTATTTCTTCTCATCACCTGTCTGCATCCCATAGGGGCTTTCAGGCTCCTCCAGGTTCCACGTTTATACAGGGGTGTTCTCAGAGATTGGACTGCAGCAGGGCAGGCCTGTGTATCTGAAATGGTAAATAAAAGATGAATAAGAGTGCCCATCATGCTGGGCTTTGAATTATCTCTATTTTGTGTTGTATACACAGACCACTATCAGGAAGCAGGTCTGAAGGGTTAGGGGCCAGCCAGGATCAGGTGGCCAGCAGTACAGTTCTCTCAACAGCCACAATACCCGAGAGGCAAGCAAAACAGACTCAGAGGTGGTGACCAAGTTCAGCCCATCAAGCATGTTCATGGCAATGAAGAAGGTGCCAGGGCAAGCTGCAGATCAGGATGAGGCCTGGTGGGGGTAACCAGGGTCAGACACAATCCAGACAGTTCTATAGTGATGAGACTGGTCTGATATCAGGTCACATCAGTCCATAGCCAGGGACTAGAAACAACATCAATCAATGACAGACTAAAGGCTTGGGGATGAGCTTAAATGGGTTTCTCGGCTCATGGGGGTGGAGGGTGGAGTCCCCAGGTGAGACCCATTAAGGCCTATTAGTGCCCTCAGGGCCCTGACAGCTTCTGCCAGATTTGCAGCTCTGTAACTCTGCAAGGAGGTACTAGCTGGTGGGGGAGGAAGCCGCTGAGATGACCCAGTTCTCCTGGGAACTGGCACAGGGAAGATTTATTAGCGATGCCCTCCTCAGCATTTACCACTGTTCAACAGAAAAGGGCTAGAGGAGATTCATTCCTCTTTAACAGCAGGGGGTTAGAGTCCGAACTCCAAACACTGCTCTAAGGTTACGGGAAGGAAAGAAATTAAAAAAGGACATGCATCCTCCCAAACTGTGTGTGCGCCCCCTCAGATGGCCCACTGGCTGCTCAGCACATGCTCCTGCACCGCCTGGGAGGTGTGCGGTGGCCGACGAGGAAATATTGCCTTCTAGGTGGTCCATCACCCACTGGGGGGTGGCTGCCTCCACTACCCTTGAGCCTACATGTGCCGCAGGTCCTGGGCTGCAACGAGGAATCCTGCTCCTCTTTGTCACCACACTCCTTCCCTGGCTGGTTCGGCAGTGCTGCTGAGCAGGGCAGTGCTGGGCTCACATCTCTGCTCGTCTTCTGAGGAGGTGGCCTTGCTGGGCACGCCCCATGTGCCGCGTGGGATGTGTGAAAATGATACCCACCAGGGACATGGCATTTGCAGCACTGAGACCCTGACCCCCATGATCACATAGTGTCACCTTCGAGTCCTCCATCAAGTCAGACGTTCTAGCCACACGCACACACACACGCACATTCTTATCTATTTCCTCTTGCAGCCTGTGTCCCTTCTCCAACATGCTGCACTGTCGCTGTGTACTGATAAAACATGACTTGAAATGGACTGACATGATCTCAAGCCAATTTTTTTTTTCCAAAACAATTTTAAATTCACTCATGGTGGCAAAAGTGATAGAAATTTGGGGTGCCTGGAGAAGGCTTGGGATGTAGTCAGGATAGCAGGAGGAGGAGGATGTGAGGTCCAGAGAGGGCGCTGGATGTTACTGGATGGATGGAAGAGCCTGTTACTGCCCAGCACTGTCACAGATGAGTCTGGTTTCTCCTCATGCTGGGGCAGGGGCATTATCTGGGAGCTGCATTCCTCCACAGGTGCTTTGGAGCTGCTGGCTCCACTGCACAGGCAATCTCACCTGCTGCTTTTCTCCCAGAAATGCCAGGGCTTCGTTTAGGCAGCTGCAGCGTGCTGCTGGGGAGGAACCTCTCTCTGTGTCAGGGTCCAAACTTTGCCTGACCTGGCACTTGCTATAGACTCTGTGTCCCTGCACACAGGCAGCCAGAGGCAGGGAAGAGTGAGAGGAGGGGTTACCTGTAGGATTATGGAGGATGGAGCCAGGGATAAAGTGTTACCAATTACAGAGAGGGCAGAGAAAAGAGCCCCGGGCAATTACAGCACCTAGCAAAGCATGGCGGGTGTTAAATCCTGCTCCTTCAGGGCAGCACAGCGCTCCTCGGAGATTAACTGGAGAGGGGCAGGCAGACCCGGGGAGGGGGACAAGCAGTGGGAACCAGCACGGCGTTTCAAAAAGGGCAAAGTCTTTTGTGTTGTGCTGATCTGATTTTAACTAGATACACAAACAGTCTGACACACATCTTCTATTCTTTTTCAGCTGGTGGCTGCAGGCTGCACGGGTTACGGGTTACCTCGGTCAGCCTTCAAGGGGAGGAACAGGTATTTCTGGTCCCAGTAGTACTGGTGAGGGACTGCAAGGCAAGCTTGGGAAAGGCTAGGAAAAGGAAGACAGGGAGTTCCTGCCCTGTTGCAGTGTCATTTTAAGTGCTTGGAAACTGAGGGGACACTGGATTAATTGCTGGCTTGGCCAGATGGGGCACGTGTGGGAGGTCTGAACCCATAACCCTGATTTCAAACCTGGGAAGAGCAATGGAATAGCTGCTCAGGGACTTTGCGGAAGCTGGAAGTTCAGGGCAGCTGGTGGGGTTTTTATGGAAAACAACTGGTGAAAGGTGCCTGAGCTCACCACTTGCTGGGCAGCAGCATCGGTGCTAAAATAACTGCACAACTGTAATCCAGGCAGGGCTTTGAGAACACGATTTCACCCACTGCAGCAGTCTCGTTAAAAACTAGTCCCAGACACCAACAGACAGATCCTGAGCAGGAGGATCAGCACAGCTCACACTCTTCAGTGGCGTAATTACAGCCAACTGAGTTTTCCAGTGAACATGGAGAGCAGCCCCTGGGCAGGTAATGGGGTCTGTCCAGAGGGTGTTTCACTGCACCTGGGACAAGGACTGCAGCTCGGTCCTACAGGGCCAGAGCAGGCAGATCACACTGCGGCCAAATTCCTCCATCCCTGGGAAGGCAAGAGAGCTGCCCTTGTCACCCTGAGTCTGAACAAATGCAGCCTGAGAGGTGGCTGCAAGAAAAGGCTGCATTTTCTCTGGAATTCTTAGTCACTATCTTCTTTACAAAAAAGTGATCTTGTTCCTCATCTGGGAAAAATAACTGGCACCCAGGACCTTCCTGGTAGAGGCACCACAACCTGAACTCCAATCCCTGCTCCAAAGCCTAACAGGGTTGGTGATGGATTTTCTGCCTCTGCCTTCCTCCAACTTTGGCGTGCAGGGCTGGGCCCCCAGTGCCTGCACACCCATCTGCCAAGCAGAGGGGGAGCCAGCACCGGGTAGCAGAGGAGGCTGGAGCCTGCTGATGTGACAGGTTTGGTCTGTTGCCCGCCGAGACCTCCAAATTTAGGGCAGGAGTTGTCACTGCACTTCTCCTCCACTGGTTGCTCTCTCCAGCTCGTCACAGGTTCACTTTCCCAACTGTTACCAGCCACCAAAGGAAGCTGGTAAGCTTCCCAGCTTGTACATCAAAAAAGGGCATTACAAATTCCATTTTAGAAATTGAGTTTGCTGGCAAAGGTCAGCGCACCGGCTTCCACGTGTGGTGCAGCAGATGGGCCCGTCAGCCACCAGCTTCCTGCAAGGGCCCTGCGATGGAGCCTGGGAAAGGCAGAGGTGACTCAGCAAACGCTGGGCTTCTGATAGATGGCTACATCCTCCAGCAGAGCAGGCTCTGTACAGAGCTAACATCCCCTCTCCCAGTGGGATTAGCCCTCTGGGACTGGGTGAGCGCAGCCTGCAGCCACCTCTCTGCAGATCCGCGCTCTCCAGGAACAGTCCGTCCCTTCTCACCCAAACCAGCCGCAAAGCTCCAGGGATCCTTAGCTTGCACCACTGGTTTCCGCCGATGCCTCCAGTTGGAGGAAGCAGCAATTGTCTGTTTTGCTCTGTTTCTGCCTAGTAATTCTTACACGCGATTTATTTTCTTGATGTCTACTGACCACTGAACTGACATTTTCATAGCACAATCTGTTATAACCCCAATGTTCCAGATGATAACACTTAACTCGGAACCCGTTGCTTTATAAATAGAGTTAAAATTGTTTTTTCCCCCTGTGCACCATTTTGTATTTATGTGCATTTGAATTTCATCTTTTTTATTGCCCAGTCTCTTTCCACAGTTGGCCTTCATCCACACAATCCTTTGTATCAGCAGTAAACTTCAATATTAGCCTGCTTTTGCAGATCATATTTGAATATGCTGAATGCAGTCCCTGCACAGCTTCCCAGTGTTTTCTGCTGCAGAGATTGTTGCCTCCTACCTTTAGTTCCTTAACTTTTAGCAAATGATTTCTCCCAGTAAGGACTTCACCTCCTATTCCAGGGCTGATTCCTTCCTTTAGGAGCCTTTGCTGAGGGACCTTGCCAAACACGTTTGCGAAATCCAGGGGGATGATCCCAGTGGGCTCACCTTGCCCATAAACCTCCTTCAACATGCTCCAAGTCTAGTCTTTAAAGCAGCCCTGCTCCTTTCTAGTCCACGGGTATGGTTTATAGCCTGCAGATCTCTGCACCTCCACCTCAGCCACCGTTCTGTCCCTTGGTGCTGTGGTGGGCCTGACAGAATGGGTACTCACTGTGGCAGATAGGTCACCGCTTTCACGATTGCGTCACTGCAGAGCCTGTGGGCAGCTCCACCCAGGCCTGGAGGGTGGTTGATGTCCTCTTGGTCACTGATCTCTTCTGCAGGTTCTTCCACTGCTGGTGTCCTGTTCCTTGTCAAAGAGCAGCTCTTGTCCATGTAGGGCCAATATGAATAGTAACAGACCTGCGAAATGGGCACTATTAGCAAATCCTCCAAATGTACCTAAAGACAAAGCAAGATTTCACCAGGAAGACCTTACCATAACTGCAAAATAAATGTACCTAAAACCTGCACAGCTAAGAGGGCCTTGCTAACGCTGAGCTAATAATGAACAAACAAAACAGACCAACCTGGAAATACCGTGGTTCATAGCATTCAAAGCAAGGTCCATTTTGTTTCTTCTCTGTGGAGTTGTGCTTTGATACCTTGGCATTGACTCACGCATCTCCCAGAGGGCTGGCCTGGGAGAGCTCCACGAGCACAGTGCAGGTGCTCCCAGGCCCCGCAAACATCCACCTGGGCAGGCAAATGCGTGCTCACAACCGATGCCTCCAATAAAAACCAAACACAAAGAGCAAAGGTCTCAAATACCCCTATTTATCTCTCACAGAGCTCCCGGTGACAATAAAACTCTTAGTAGCGGATAAGTTGTTGCAGCCTCTTCTCCACTGCTTCTCCAAAGCCAGGTCAAATTTAAAAGTCCTGCCATACGCCTGAGGGTCTATTTTGATACATTTGTCTCTTGTTTACAAAGATTAAATCCCTCTGATACACGCATTTGTCCACAGGCAACAACTGTTGTTTATAAAAGATAAAATTTGAAATCTCACACATCTTGTTTTCAACTCTTTTTCAATTTTCATTTAAGCCATAAATGAGTTGTGGTTTTCCCTGAGGTTTCCCACTCACCCCATGCCCACTGGACATAGTACAAATAACTGCTCTGCAAGAAGACTTATAAAACAAAATCTTGTTTTCTTTCAGGCAAATCCAGGCCTGGCTCAGAAGCGTCCCAACCAGAATTACATGGCAGAAATCTGACATCCCAGTTTCAGTGAATTGAGGTTCAGAGATATTAAATTGAAGTTAATTTTCTGCACATTATCTTTACTTCTGTCTCTCTGGAAACTGAAGCCCTTGCAAGGATAGTTTCTACAGGGGAAGGAGAGATTGGAAAAGAAAGGTCATATCAAGTTACGTGGCAGAGAGAGCTCCAGGAAGTGTTTTTAAATTATTAAAGAGAAGGAGCAAAAAAGTGAAGAGTTGAGGAGCTGGGCAGAGGGAGCAAGAGACAGAGCATGTCTGCTCCATCCTGCATCACAGAGGGTGCATTATCTAGTCCATCCCTATTCAGAGTGTTCTGCTCTGTGGAGATATTTGATTTCCCCCAAGATTTAGGGAGCTCTGCTAGATCAAGCATTCAAAGGACCTGCTAGAACCGAGCACGTGTATGAATTGCCCCATTGGCAGGAATAATTTAACACATGATGTGCTCAAGCAGCAGGACTCAGCATGTAGGCAGGCCCTGCTTCACGGGGAGGCAGGACAATGCATGAAAGAGCTGGTGGGTTTTTTACAGAAACAGAGGTAAGTAGGGATGAGCACACAGCAGCAGAAAAGCTGCTACCATGAAGAGGGGTTCCTCACTGCTGGGCAGACTATCAACCAGCAGTGAAGCTACCCAGTCACGGCTGAGTGGATCCAACAAGGCAGGTTTGCCAGGAAAGCCACTTCGCCCCTCCTGCCTCCAACACGCACCAGGCTAGTGGGGCTCTCTCTGCAGAGACCTGTGGCTTCCCGATGGCTGTGCAAGCTGGAGCACCAGGGCCCAGGTGACAAAGGGAGGGGAGAAGGTCAGAGGGGCAGGAAGCAACTCAATTGGCTCAAAACGCATTGTAGGTGCTGTTTCTCTTCTCCCAGCAGTCAGCAATGAGACGGTCCCTGATGGGCACTGCAAAGTCTGTGCCCTTCTGGCATCACCCAGGTGCACCCTGCAGTCTGCGGGCTGGAACCAGGACATTCCTCATCTGATTCAGTCACCAAGTCACTGGCATCGTGTGGGTCTTTGGCCTGGGATAGGTGAACATCTGCTTTGCCTTCCCCCTGCTTCAGCACAGGAGCGATCCCCAGTGACTTGCTCTGACTAAGCCAACACTCATCTCTTGGCCCGTTTGGGAGCTGCACGCCAGGTTTGCATTCATGAGTTTCTCCAGCAGGAAGTGGTCTTCTAACGACGCAGGGTTAGACTTCACATTGCAGATTCTCCTTGGGAAAATAAAAATAAGGTTGACCGGTCTGATTTTAAGGGCAGGAAAACTACCATGAGATTACCCATTAAAGAAATCATGCACCTGGTCATCTTACAAACCCAAGCCCTAGAAACCACTGCTAAGCAATGGGCAGTGTCAGATCTGGATGATTATCACTGATTAACCGACAGCCATGCATTCAAGCATCGTAAACATGCAAAGACAGCCCTTGTCTCAAGCAGCTTCAACTTCCAGTATATTACTCCTCACAGCTCACCTCCCATCCATTGTGCTTTTGCTTATGCATTTAGCTTTGATACGAAAAAAAGAGTCACCCAACAAAATTCTAGCAACAATCAAAAACAGCCCAGCATCGCTTTGCTCTGTGAAACAGCTCCTGCCAATGAAGGAATCTGTGCCCTGAACTGTGGATGTGATTGAACAGTAATTAAGCAATGAAATTGCCTACCAGAAAACCTGTTCTGTTTGGCTGTAACCACAGCAGAGACAGAAGCAATTTTAGTCCTGCCAGATTTTTTTCTTCTTTATTTTTTTCCTTTATTAAACCAGACCTGTCAACACCCACATACTTTACAAACAAATCCCATCCCAGTTGTGACACAAAGATTTCCAACTTTCCTAAGCCTCAAGTCTCAAAGGCTTTGCTGGATGTGGCCAGACAGCTTCACCTTTAAAAAAAAAAAAAAGAAAAGAAAGAAAAAAAGAATAAAACTGAAATAAAAACCAAAGACACATCAAGTTCTAACAGCAAAACCCCTGGCTCTGTGGGAGCACAGCAGTGCTCACCAAACATTTCAGCTTTAGCACCCAGCTGAACCAGAGATCCTGCACGCTCTGTAGCTTTTCTGCTCAGCAAAGCAGAATAAGTCTGGCGGGGACAGAGACAGCAACAACTCATTGTCATCCTGCCCCCACATTATCAGTTTCCAGCTTGTGCCCAGCACCCTCTCTTCCCACTGTAGCAGTTACAGGGATGTGGGAGGGGATGTGGGAGGCAGTGCAGGAGGTGGTGGGTGTTAGAGCTGTGAGTGGATTATTTATCCTCACTCTAATTAGAGCCAACACCTCATTTCACGACTGCAGGTAACACAGAACCATGTTCTCAGCTACACTGAGCTGAAAATAGGCAGAACACAGGCTGTAGAGATGAATTCCCAAATCTCACACAGCAGCCCCTGATTCAGGGCAATTGTTTCTGTTCTTAAAGCATCTGCAAACCCAGGAGAGAGCAGCCCACTGAAGCTGGTCTGCAGCGGCCTTCATCTCACCCTTTGCTGCAACCACGTGGCAGTTTTTTAAGCGCTTCCTGCTCAATTACTTCACACGGCATCATGTGAGAGCACGACTGGGAAAAGCACACCTTCCTGCAAGTGCCCCAGTGTGGGTTTGCACCCCTGTTGGCAGGGAGCGTGTCCTTGGCTCCACTGAGCGCCGACACCTGCCACCAGCCCCAGGGGTGCTGCTGCCACCAGCAGGACAGGCGGCTCTTACTGCCAGATGCCTCAGAATGACCATTTCTTTTCTGTCAGAACTGGGGTTTCAGCAGATGCTCATTAAGAGCTAATCCTTGCTCTGTAATCATAAATCCTTCGTATTTTAGTTAAATTAAGACAGTGACAGTAACACAACTGCTGCTGCTTGCTCAGATTTTTGCAAAGGGTGTGAAAGTGAGAGGACTCGAAGAACAGCAACAGCAGCACTTTCAGCGAATTTTCCCTGGGAGGTGTTGATTAGCAGCTTTCAGAAGAGCTCAACTCAACCCTTTATGTGAGCCCAAGTTAAAAATCAATTTATGCACAAAGCCAGTTTAAGCTAAATGCAAATCTGGGAACACTCAGCCTCAGTGCAACCTGCAAAGGCAGACACGCTGCTCCAAATCCTCAGGAAAGTGCTCCATGGTGACGGCAGCTTAGAGAGAGATTTCAGGTTCCCTCGCTGCTGCCCAGGTTTGACTTTTGACAAAACATCTCATCCGTGACTCAAGCATTTTGGAGAAACTCTGTCCAAATTCTCTTCTCAAGGGCTCCAGCACTGGGAGAGGGAGATAGGGATTTTATTACCATTTTCTATTACTAAGTTATGATTACTTGAAGAGCCACAGGCCCAAGCATCAGTGTTAGGGCCTGGACAAGTTCATAGACTGTTGCAGTGCCCCAAACAAAACATGATTTTTTGCTTCATCCTACCTAGGGCACAAACCTCCCAGTTAAACCAGCTCGTGTTGGAATGCCACAGGTCAGCCCAGCTACTGGCATTAAGCAGAATGGTCCCATGGACATAACTAAGAGCACAATTCACCTCCATAGACGGAACAGTCCTGACCATCCTGAAGATGTACATATGCAGAAACTGAAAATAGACCATAACACCCTGTTGGGTTTTGTCTTTGTCTTTCCTGACCACTTTTACCCTACACAAGCTGCGTGCATGGCAGCAGTAATCATCTTGAATGACCCCTGTTGCTGTGGAATCTCTGAGCAGTCATGAAGAGGAGGGAATAGAGGATGCGGTGAGATGCACCTGAAGCAACACACAGTAGCTTTGAACCATCTGTAGGTTTTGCAAGATTGAAAGGAGAGCACAAGACAGGGAGGAGACAGGCTCCCACTGCCCAGGGGGAGCTGGACTAGCAAGGGGCAGTAAGTGAGCTGCAGAAGATGGGTCAGGCAGCCTCAGATGGAGGCACCAACAGCACCAGTACCCCCACTGCCAGCTCCTGTGAAGAACTGCCCTAGGCAAGGGGATATCAAATGTTTTCGTGAGTCAGTACAGACACCACGGAGGTGAGTTATAATGGTCACTCAGTGCAGGTGGCACAAATTTATGTCAAAGCTGGTAACTACAGAGTCTCTGCCTTGTACCTCTTCCTTGGGCTCTCTGACACCACACCTACACAGGCAGGAGCACTATCCCCAGTGAGGAGCCTAGAAAAAAGCTGCTGCATGTGGTGACAAGTCGAGGTTGCCGAGGGGACCAGATCTGGTGCAGGCCCGTCCTGCAGCAGGAGGGGGATCACAGCGGGCGAGGGGAGGTTTCCTGAGCTGCAGGAACCCCCAGGAGCTGTCAGTTCTCATGACAGTCAAAGCTGACAAGGTGTGGACAGGGCCAGAATTCATGGTGGCCACCCTTGTCCTGCAAAGAGCAGCCCCAGGGATGGCCAGTGGCCAGGGTGGGCAAACAGGGCACGGTGTGGCAGTTTGTGTGAGAAGGCAGCTCTTGGAAGGAGGGGACAATCCACTGGCTGAGTGGAGAGGCTTGAAGTTCGCACAGCGCAGCACCGGGGCACTGTTCTGTGACTATGCCCACAGGGAGAGGGCTCTCACCCTGCCTGACCCTGAGGGCAGGATGGCAGGTGCTTGCTGAGAGCAAAGGCTGCAGCTCCAGCCGGGGTCTGCACCAGCACCCCAGCGGCGGGCAATGCCTCCGTGCAGATGGAGCTGCCGAGGGGAGTTGGAGTTCTAAGAAGGAGCTGCGAGGAGAACATCTGTGTGATCACCAAGGACAGTGGAAGAAAGAGGAGAAGGGGAAGAAGGTCTCCCAGAGAGGAGAGATGGCAGGGCTACCCCTGCTGCTAACCAAGAGGTCACCAGTGGAGAAGGCGGGGACCTGCAGCACATGGAGGACCCTGCACTGGAGCAGGCAGCTGCGCCTGAAGGAGGCCAGGACTCTGTGGGAAGAAGCCCCCACTGCTGTAGCTGGATGCTGGGAGGACTGAAGCATGCAGGGGTGACCCAGCAGCCCGTGGGACAGACTCACATCAGAGAGGATTTGTGGAGGACTGTCTCCTGTGAGAAAAGAAGAATGAGCAGTTCCCTCCCCAGTCCGAGGAGGAAGAAGTGGTGGGACTGACCACATCCCCCCATTCCTTGCCCCTTGCACTGCAGGTGGGGGAAAGGAGGTGGAGATATCGGGAAAACTGAGCCTGGAAAGAAGGGAGGGATGGGGGAAGGTGTTTTCAAGATGTGGCAATGCTTCTCACTGTCCTACTCTGTCTGTTAGGTGGTGGTGGTGTTAGTGTCTGAATTAAATTTACATTCCTTTCTTCCCCTAAGGAGCCTGCCTTCTGCCCATGACCATGAGGGTGAGTCATCCCTCATTGTCATCATCTCCATTCCTGAGCCTTTTGCATTACTTTCTCCTTCCCAGCGCTGGGGGGGAAGGGGGCAGTGAGCAGATGCGCGGTGCCGATTGCCCTCTGGGCTCAAACCACGCCAACGGTGCTTTGCAGAGTGAAGAGGAAAGACCCGTCCCATCAGGATTGACGCTGGAGCTGAGTAACGCAGCCCAGTCTGCTCTCTGTGTAACAACCACCACAACCAAGACAAGGTAAAGGGCGACAGCAGTAGGCAACTCTTCTGAGAGGTGTGGAGGCACCCACCCGCCTGCCGACCTGTCACCCTCAAGAGCCAGCTGGGGTCTTCCCAGGGGCTGCTGTCACCAAGGGGCTGCAGGCTGCGTCAGTCCACTGGCTGTCACCCACTGCTGCTGTTTCACATGGGCAGCAACAATGCAGCCAGGAGCCCTCTGAGGAGTGTCAGGAAGGATTGCCAGTTTATGACTCTATCATTCTGTGATTCCCTGGGAGTGGCAGTAAGGGACTCTGGAGCACAGGTAGCTTTTTCATGAGTCCTCAAGGTCAAAGGTGAGGGCTCTGAAAGGGCCAGTTGACTCCAACAGATCAACAACTGGTTACAGGACTGGTGCCACAGCTGAGGTTCAGCTACTAAGACCATGGGAATTGCTCTGAGAAACCCGGTCTGCTGGGGCCCATCTGTCAGAGAAGGGGAGGAGCATCTTCAGCCACGGGTTTGCCAAGCTGGTGAAGGGGGATTTACACTTAAATTGCTGTGGGTGGGGAACCACAAGCCATCCCACTGTTACCAGCTTGATGCCAGCAGCAGCAATAGATGCCCAGAGCCTGGAGAGGGGTCCCAGGGCAGCAGGAGAGCACCTGAGGAGCAGCACAAAGGAATTCCAGGCAGAGAGTCAGCTCCATCGGGGCCCAACTTAAATGCCTCTGTGCAAATGCACGTAGCATAAACACAAGGAGGTAGAGACATGCACACACCTGCAGGGCTACAATCTTACTGGCATCATGGAGATGTGGTGGAACAGTCGCTATGGTTGGAGTGTTGGGGTGGAAGGACACAGGCTTTTTGGGAAGGACAGGCAGGGGAGAGGAGGAGCAGGGCTCACCCTCTGTGTCAGTGACCAGCTGGAGTGCAGGGAGCTCTGCCTGGGGAGGGGTGAGGAGCCAACCGAGGGCTTACGGGTTGGGATTAAAGGGAGGGCAGGGACAGATATTATAGTGGGGGTCCGCTACCAGCCACCCAACCAGGAAGACTGAAGGCCCTCTACAAACCAAGAGGAGCAGCCCCATGTTCACCAGCCCTAGTCATAGGGGGCTTCAACCACCCCGGTATCTGTTGGAGGGACAGCACAGCAGGGCACAAGCAATCCTGGAGCATCAGGAATGCGTTGATGGTAACTTCCTCCTCCAAGTGACAGAGGAGCCAATGAGGAGAGGGGCTATACTGGTCCTTACTCTCACCAACAAGGGGGGCTTGTTGGGGAGTATGAAGCTCAAGGGCAGCCTTGGCTGCAGCGACCATGAAATGGGGGAATTCAAGGTCCTTAGGACAGCACAGAGGGCATCCAGCAAGTTCACTGCCTGGACTGCAGCATGGGGACTCAATCGGGGAGTGGAGGGGTTGGACAAGGCTTAACAGTTTTAAACTGAAAGAGGGAAGATTTAGATTAGATATCAGGAAGAAATTCTTCCCCATGAGGGTGGTGAGACACTGGCACAGGCTGCCCAGAGGAGCTGTGGCTGTCCCCTGCCTGGCAGGGTTCAAGGCCAGGTTGGATGGGGCTTTGGGCAACCTGAGCTAGTGGAAGGTGTCCCTGCTCGTGGCAGGGGGTTGGAATTGGATGATCTTTAAGGTCCCTCCCAGCCCAAACCATTCTGTGATTCTATAAGTGGTTTCTTCTTTCAGACCTCAGGGCCATGGGCGCTCAGCCTTTCTGTAGCTTTCAGGTGAGATGCAAGATGTGGCCAGCTGTGGGGATCATTAGAGACCTAAAACCTCTTTCCAAAACCAAAGAAATTTTACTATTGCATCCTACTAGATCATCCCTGCCATAGAGCTAGGGGTATTTCTTATTTCAATTCTTTGGTTACTTAGTGCCACAATGACAGTTTATGCACAAAGTAATCCTTTGCCATTTTCTGCCCAAAACACCCTATAGCCTTTAAGCAGATTATTTCAGTGTTATTGACAGAAACATAGAAATATTGAACGGATCTACGGCTCAGGACTGCTTACTCTCCAAAACAGATGAGAGGAGCAGCTGCTATTGTTCTGTAGAGAGAGGACAGGCTCTAGGAGTCAGTCTGCACCAGTAAAGCCCAGGTACCCCGTAAGGGAAACTGGGCAACGAGGCTGCACTCCGCAGGGCAGTAATGAAGAATGTGGCAGGGCTTGTATCAGCAAGATGCAAAATCTTTATTCCAGTTCTATTGGAAAAAACACCACCTCCACAGCTGACCATTTAACAGTTCAGCCAGAACAGGGAGAGGTCACGCTTGCCCAGCAGAGGCAGAGACTTAGAGGACAGTCCTGTAGGCACTTCAAGAGGAAGCTCTGCTTCAAAATACAAACACTGAACAGTTTGGCTTAAATTTTTAATATAAAAACTCACTAAAAATGCTAAAATGTGACAAACCATTGGAAATACTGTGACAAACATTCACCCTTATGCAGTAAAAAAACAAAACAAACCCAAACTGGCAAGAAGCTTTGAAATGCATGTTTTCTTCTTCCTCCTGGCACATCGGACCATCATCTACCAAAAACGTTCATCTAAAAAATCCATGGCACCTTCACCTCGTACTTCAGTGCAAGAGGCTACTCTCGATGGACCAGCACAAATAAACCCAGTAAAAAGAGGACTGCATACTGTAAGAGAAAGAAGAAAAGACCCAAGAGCGCACATTCACATCTAAAGATGCAGTAACACAGTAAACACACAGGGCAAACAGTTCTGCCTGTGCATATAGAGTTCTCATTAAATCATTTTAGCTGGGGTGGGAGAAGCAGGCAGAAAATGGAAGAACTCTTACCTTAAATTTTGGATAATCATTCATTAAGATAGTCACTATTCCAATATAGGGCACAAATCTACAAGAATAAAGGTTTTATTTAAACAAACAGTATTCAGGGGCGCACAGGGGAGCAGCACTGCCCTGGCACTTGTACAGATGAAGGGTCACTGAAGCATGCTGACGGCCACAGCCAGCAGGCCTGGGGCTTCTCCTCCCAAGCAGGTAAGCCATGGCAGCGGGGGCTGAGTGACAACCACTCCCACAGTGTGTTTTAGCCTCTGCCTTGCTCAGATCTTGCCTGCCTGCAAAGACTCTGCCTTGCAATTTCCATGAAAATTCTGATCACGCCTGAGTGTGCGCTGCCTTTACACCGGTGTCCATCCACCAGCAAAATCTCTGGAGGCAGCTCACAGCTTGATACCTCTGCTTAAGCCAAGTTAAGAACTGAACTACCTCTGTTTTTTAACTCTCCACAGTACCTTTTGAAATGCTTTCAGGCAGGTCACAAAAACCCAGCAGGGAGAGTTCAATAGGAGGTGGGGATTAACAGACGGCATTGGGGGAGGGCAGTGTAGAAGCCACATCTTTTTCAACCCCACTTACCCTCTTGCTCGTCCTACTACGTCCTTTTTCTCCAACCAGTGCTGCCCTCGTTTGTACAGCCCTCTGTCATCAACCGCGTTATTGTCTCCCTTTGTCAAAAATTTGATGTCACCATTTTGCCTGGAAAGACAACAGAGCCTGGTAAGTCAGAGAAAAAGAACTTATTAAAAGCTATTCTAGAACAAGCATATAGAGACTAACACAAAGATATTGAGAAGCAATTGTGTCCTACATGTTCAAGCAGGATGAAAAAGGGAAACTGTCAAATGCAGTGGAAAGCAGACAGTTTGGGAAATAACTGCCAACAAAAAAATGAATTCTGGCCCCAGCCAAGCTTTCCCACAGAGTTTAAGAACAGAACCAGTAGGATGAGCCATCTCTAGCGAAGGTGCAGCTATTGCCTCTTTGCTTTTAACCTCTCTCATGTTGATGCTTCTCTTGCTTCGTACACAAACGGTGGGTTCTGGGCTCTGTACTACCACCCAGGAGGAGACTGAGGGGTTAAAGCATACACTTCTATCTACTCAGTAGTGGTCAGAAGCAAGCTGGAACTTAGAGATTATTAGGAAGGGGGGACAGAACAAAACAAACAATACCATTATGATACTGCATGAACTCACGATGTGCCTACATCTTGAATGCTCTGTGCAGTTCTGAACCCCCTACATCCTTTTTTGAAATGGAGAGAAGAACTGGCAAAGGTTCAGAAACGGATAGCAAGGTCTGGAACCACTTCCATACAAGAAACAACAGACCAGGACTCTTCAGCCTGGAAGAGACAGAACTGATGGGAGATATGATGGTAGTTCAATACAAATGACACAGACAGCAACAATCAAACCGCTTCTCACTGCCTCTTCCAATACAAGACCTAGAGGGCATGAAATGAAACTCACAGGTAACAGGTTAAAACAAGACAGGGAAGGTGCTATGCAGAACTAACAACAGTGCAAACTGAATCATGTCTCTCTGGAAGGATCGTTTGGATGACAAAAATTTGTACTGGTTCAAAAAGTGACCAGATACTCCATGTAAAAAAGAAAAGGAGGCTATTAATAAAGAACGGTGACTTTGTGCTTGAAACTGCAATCTGCAGAAAGCAGAGGAATTATTGCTACATACTGTCTTTGCTATGACCTGGAAACAGCTGATGTTATGGCCAAGTTTCTACACCACGTTCCGCATCCTTTCCCAGTCATTTCCATCCAGCTGGCTGGACAGCCAGCAACACCCACAGAATTCTAAGCAGCAGCTGGTGGCACTCCTGAGGGATCGGTCGGCCACTGTCATCTCCCTGCAGCCTGAAGCTCTTGTTGTTTGACTCTGTCAGCTTACTCACAGAAATGACAGATCAGATGCAACTTGGGAACGCAGGCGGGAGGTCCTCAGAGCTCATGTTGTATTCATCATGCCTGAACACCAACGCCTGTTACTTGACAGAAGAAGCTTGGAAGGAAACAAAGAGGGGAAAAAAAAGATCTTTCTTCAAAGCACATTTGGCTCACAGTGTGGGACCAACAAACACTCTCAGAGCTTAGAGACAGCGTGGATAAAGATGAAGATACCCAAAGGTGCAGATAAAGTAGTCTGAGCTCTGAGGACTGATGGAGTAGGAGCACACCACCTTACTGAGCAGATTCAATGCTCTATCAGGAACCAGTGCAAGAAGCCCACAGCATAGTTGCTCTGCTGTCTGAAAGGTGAATGAAATCTGGTCTGGCTGGCTGCACCAAAACCACTAAGTAAATTTTGACCACAGACTCTGTGTTTAGTGACAAAGAATGAACTCAATTTTGCTCTGAACAAAGAAAGGGCTAGCAAGTAAAAAACATCTTCTCATTGAAATAATACTGATGTGAACTGGGACCTGAGCTGCCAAGAAGTCACAGCAAGGGTTCTGTTTTCCTTCATTTTGACACTGCTGTCACCTTTTGCAGACATTTCAGTTTTCATATTCAGTCCATAACTACATGAAGAAATGGGAAACTCCAACCATTCAAAAGACACTCTAATTCCAAAACTGTACCAGAAAAATATTCTTTAAAGAGTGAAAGAAGCAACTGATACTTGAGTCCTGCCTTCAGCGCACAGCTTCAGGTCACAGTATTGATTTTTCAGTTTTATCTCGCCTAACATAAAGATCAGGTTTGTGTTTGGTCATTTTATTTAAAAGAAATCTAAAATACTGGAGAATGACTCCACAGAATCTAGGGCTGGCACTGTGGTCTTATTACTTTTTTTTTTTAAAAAAAAAAAGCACTGGATACCTTAATACCTAGTACTGAGATAGAGACAGGCTAAAAAAGAGGGGTGGGTAATATCTGAGATGAACTGCCACACAGCACGCACATTGCTGCTTCTCCTCCCCATGCACTGGCTGAAAGCAGAGAGAGAAGACACTGACCTTTCTTGCCTCTTCAATAATCAGCCCAAACAGCAGCACTGGAGCCTTTAGCATGCAATAAGGGAGGAGTAAAGTGACGTTTCACTTAAAAGACTTCCCAAGACATCAAAGAAAGTGCCCATGCAAAGTTAGATATCAAATTTGTCAAGTATACTGATCTTATTTTTAAATTAGTGGCATCAAAGAACAGTACTTTGAAAACCGGCACTGTTAAAAGTTTTGGGTACATAATAAATCTGAACAGCAAAGAATCTGTTCTGCCTACTGGGAGAGGTGCCACTCTCATAGCCAGCACTTCCGCTGGACAATTTATGTGCACAAAGCTGGTCAACCTTGGCATGGAGCCAGATAAACGGTCTGAGTCCCAACAGCTGTGGCTGCTATGACCGCTTAGGGGAAGGGACCCTCTCTATGCCCTCACTTGACTACAGCAATCCTCAAATGCCACCTCTACACAGATTCTCTTAACCTCAGAACCGACCTCTGGCCACTGGTATAGCTCCAGTTCATCCATACTGTAGCTGGCATTTACTCAGCAGAAACAGATGCTGGGACCCCATCCAACTGCTGCCCTCTGAGACCTGACTTGAAGAACCAGTGATTCAGTTCAAGACTTATTTCTCACTGAAAAGCCTCAGGAGGCTGGCTCATATCGTCACAGACCAGCCTGAAGCAGTCACAGTTCTGTCCACAAAACAGGAAGGCTCGCAGCTGCAGAGGAAGCCTTGCTTAGAAAACTAAGCCCTGTCCAGCAACCAAACCAGGTGACTGTGCTTCATTCCTGCAGACACACAACCTGCTAAATATTTAGAGAATGAACAGTACATGGAGAGCACAGCGCATACAGAGACTCCGAGTATAACACCACAAAACTTTCTACAGAGAAGAAACACCCTGCCTCTGCATGAGAGCAGGAACCAGGACCATAAAGCTTTAAAATAATGCACACTACACCAAAAATACCCTTCTTCCATAAGTTCTACCTCCACAAACAAGAGTGAATTCACACACACAAATGCAGCCACACTGGCAAAGAGAACATAGCAATGTTACACAGCAGTGTGGGATGGAAATGATGGCACAGGAGACACAAAGTGGCATGGGGAGTCCAGGATGCTGGCACAGACTCTCCAGCTTGTGCATTCTGCTGGATGATATTTACAAGTAAACCAAGGAGCGCAGATTCTGTCTGTCTGAAATTCCTATGTCTGAAAATCCTGCAGCACCTGGATATGTTACTGACATCCCGCCCATTCGTTCACCCAAGGAGATGGGGAAAAATACAATTTAACTAAACATCTGCAGTACAACCCCTCAAATTCTTGACATACTTCTCATGAATCTTTAGGACACGGTGGACTATAGGAATTTCCCTTCCTTCTATCCTAAAGACCACAATTTCTCCCACTCTGATTGGATCTTCAATTCGGTTTGTGAGGAACAGAAGATCTCCTCTGTGAAAAGCAGGCTCCATGCTTCCACTGAAAAAGAAAAGAGCAATTAAATAATGTTTAAACACTCAGAACCAGATTTTTGGAGTTTATAGTCCTTTAAGAAAAATCTTACAAGAACCTCAATGAAGAGCTCCTAAGAAAACCACCCTGGAAACCAGGCAGGTATCTAACCTCCATTACAATCAGATTTTCAATCACCACACTACCAGCAGTTTAGATTAGTTGGGAAAAAAGCACTGCCAGCAGTCAGGGTTAAAACAACACGAAACGGGAAAAACATTCTGCTTTCTCAATAACAAAAACCTGATGACAAGCAGCATCTTCTCAACTTCCAAGCCCTGCACTGGTAGGGCTACAATGGCAGCACTACAGCAGTGGGAAGCTTTTTAGATTTAATTAATTTTTAGTTTTTGCAGGTAGATAGATCACCCTCATGAACAAAGCACTGAAAACATACAGGTTCTTGTATTCCCATCTGGAACAGACAGATGGGTGTGCTAAAAATTTGTTATTGTGATTCATCGCTTAATGATTTCATTTCAGGCACTGCTATTCAAGTTATTCTTCTCCTGTCTTCTAAATGGCAACTGTTACAAAATACAAAACCTTCTTAATTCCAAACAAATAATGCAGTACAAAACACAGCGATGAACTTTAAGTACCAGCTACATCCGTGGTTTATCTTGAGACGGAGTAGAAGCTGCTATTCAGAACAGAAGATCACATTGCTGAAGAAGAGATGTGACCCAATGGCCTCTGTCTTACTCACTGTGAGGAACAGCGTGAAACATCTCCCCTGTATTTCATGAGCCATCAGGAGAGAGTTTGTTAGATGGTGTGCAGTAAATAGAAAGGCCAGCACGGCCACAGAACAAACTCCTGTGCAATATCCACGCCAGCAACCAATGGCTGCCCAAGAACTTCAGCCACAGGACTTTGTCCCAGGCAGGAGGACGGTGGGAGCAGCTACTGCACAGCACTTCTGTGAGGGCAACGTGTAACGCCTAAAACATAGCTTGTCACACAGTGATATTCCTTGTACAAAAGAGTACAGCTAAGGCTCCTCTTTTCATGGCTATGTCACTGCTTACTAGAAGGCCAGGAAAAAAAACAAGCAGCTTCGAGAGAAGAGTTAGAAGATATGTTACGTTACATCCTGAAAAGCATCATAAAGCTCACTGGGCATTTCAGCAAGCCAGTCCCCATTTAAAGAACTCAACAACTTCTTCTCGCTATAGGAGTTTATTCCCTGGTATCTCAAAGATTTCAACTTCCTTTTCGCTAACAAAGACTCCCCACATACTTGAACTATTTCTGTAGCAGCAGCAAGATGTGCAGACGGGCACGGCAGGAGGTACCAGTGTGCTGCAATGTTCTGCCACCACAACTTCTACTACGGGAAGTGCCATTAGCCCTGATGAGATGATGAGCTCTGCCACAGACATTATTTTCATAAGGGGAACCCCCCCCCAAGCAACAGGCTCATCACCCCCTGCTTCAAGGCGTTCCTTTCTAAAGGCCTTTCACCCACACCGCTGAGCATTCCTCCAGGAGTTTTGGTATGATCCAGAAACGCCCGGTTGAGCTCTTGCCATATTCCTTTGAAGTCCTTCCTCCGCTTTCCCCCTCCTCAGACCAACCTCTCTACCATGCAACCCAGACAGCTAACAGAAGCTTTAGGGCGAGATGCTATTTTTCCCTGAGGCTGCCAGCCCTGCCTCCCCTTCCCTGGCGCTATACGAGAACACGCGTTCCCAGGGAGCCTCTCGCCGCCGGGGACGGGGCGGGAGCCTCCAGCCGCCCCATCCCCCCGGAAAGTCTCCTCCTTTGCGGGCCGGGCCCGCGGCTCTGCAGCCCCCACCCAAGGCCTCACCCCGGGGCGCCACCGCTGAACTAGCCCCCGTCTGCACACACCATCCCCTCCCTCCCCGCGGGATTTACCTCAGCACCACCACGATGGGGCTCTCGCTGCCCGTCACCACCATCAGCCCCTTCCAGATCATGAGGGCGGAGGAGACGATCATGCCGAAGTTCAGCACCTGGTAGTACAGCTGGGGGC